AAAAAAAAAAAAAAAAAAAAAAAAACATTAAAAAACCAATGAACAACATACTTTTTATTCTACACACAATCACGGTGCTTATACTTTTGTATGTATGTATGTATGTGCTTATGTAGGAGCGCCCACCACCAGTACCACCATCGCGTGCCTATACCATTGCTGGCAGCTTGAAGCTTAGCTATCCGCAGAGCCGCATCATGAAAATGAATTTCCCCGAGGATCCACCCATCGTTAATCCGGCCGAACAAATGCAGCAACAGTTGAAGAAGGGCGAAGCTGTCAGTGTGGTTGGAGCGTCGACTTGTCGTGGACACTTGATTGTCGAGCACAAAGGTCAGAGCTATCACGTACCGTTTCAGTATATGGAGTTGTTGCGTCCATCAGCTGGTGCAGCTGGTGCAGCTGCTGCTGTTGCTGCTGCTGCGGCTGCTGCTGGTGGGGTGACCAGTAATCCAAATAACGCTGCAAGTGTCAACAGCAACAACAACAACACTAATAGCAATAGCAACAACATTGCCAATAAGAATAGTAGTAGCAGTACGGGCAATTTGGCCAACAATTGCAATGGCAACAACAACAATATTGGTTTAAACAATGGGAATAACAGCAGTGCTAGCAACAACAACAATGCAAACACTCCGACAGCTGTGAATATTTGAAGAGTGTCCAGGCGAGCAGTGTGAGTGCGGAGTGAAAAACGCTGGCTAATTGTTGAGCGCGACAGGTGCGCGACTGCAACCACAATAACAAATCAGTGTGGCTTCCGTTGCAGGGATGAGTTTGCAGCCCGAATGTTTCCGTTGGAAAACATCGAGGCCTTCATTTGGATTTCTTTTTTCACACAAAGACTGTAAATAGTTATTATAGTTACTCGTTCATATTTGCGGCAAGCAACGAACGTACATATATTAAAGTAGATATGTAAAAAGACAGACGAACATGCATGCGTAGAAATAGCAAGCATTGAAATGACTAAATAAAAACAAAAAAATAAAAAAAAATTTAACTAAACGCAAACAAAAAAATATTAAAAATAAATTACATATGAAATAAAAGAATTCATTAAATTAAAATAAAGTAAAAAAAAGTTTAAATTAAATATAATTATATAACTGAAATAATAAGCATTTAACGGCTGTCAAACAAAAAATTAAAATTAAATTAATAATATAAAATGAAATTAATGAAATGAATTAATAATATAAAATTAAATAATAAAAAATATAT